GGACAACACGCTTGCCCTGGGAGGGCTTGCAAGCATCAGCAACCTTGCAAAAAGAGGACTGCAGGGCAGCAGACGGGGTACAAGGTTCTTGCTTTGTTTAGGCCTCATCGCAGGGTGAGCGTCTCCTGACGGTGCGCTTTCTGAGCCCTTTTTCTTTGCATCTGATGGGATCACCGCGAGCCTACCAGAGAGGCCCAGGGCCTCCCAGCCCGAGAGAAAAAATCACACAGTGCTGCGCGTCGCGCTGAGCCTCCGCTTTCCCGGGGATGCCGACCAAGCCCAGGCGCTTTTCTCGCCTCGGTTGTCAGTCGGACTTAGGGTTCAGAAGTCTTTGACAATGCCCTAGAAATCCCTTTCCCTACAACTCAAGCGTGCGATTTCGCTCTTGGGCGACCACTCCAGGCCGGACTCCCTGGATGCTACCCTCTTGCGCTGAGGCAGGGTTTCGCGTCTGGCGGACAGTCCAAGAAGTGCATGTGTGGACTGACAAATATGATGGTCCGGAATTTGAGCAACATTGGTGTGCATTAGTTTAGACATGCTCCTTTTTTTACCGTCACACGGCACGTCGTGACCAGCTAAGTACCCGGCACGACCCAGAATGCATGCGACCCGTTGTCGATCACTGTCTCAGGACGAGTGTCGCTTCGACGTCAACCGTAGAAGAGCTATGGACAAGATCTCTGTGCCTAGAAGGGTCGGAGCTTTCTTCGAGGGTGTTCAACATACGAGTACAATGAACTCATGAAGGATCCACACAGGATGAAGGGAACTGGCAGGGCCAGAAGGGGCGCCAGCAGGGCTTGAAGGAACGTCCTTCGGTTTGGGTGGCGCTGGGCCGACGTTACTTCCGACGCGCCAACGATGACGACGGCCAACAAAGATGACGCACTGCCCAGCTTGAGACCGCAAGGCAAGGGGCAAAGGCAGCAACGAGGGTCTTGCTTCCAACATTCAAGCTCCACGGTATCACCATGCATGAGCGGGGGACTGGCCAAAGGTGGCCAGGCCGTGATAGCCCAGGAAATGAAAGCCCTGATTATGGTTCGACATCGTGAAAAGCCGAAGCGTCGCTCCAGACGTCCGTGTGCCCATGAGTTAGTAAAGCTGGCTGCACGCACAATGCGTTTCCTTGCAAGTTTCCGCTGCCAGTTCCGCTGGTTCATAGTGCATGAATGGACTTGGGCAAGAAAGGGGAACGCCTGAACACCAAGCCACTGCCTGCCAATCGCAGATCAATAACAGCAACTGATGCCGCAAACACTAGCCTAGGCGTGCATATGACAACGCTACTTCTTCTGCGCGATCGCTTAAGAACCGTCGGAATAAATAAAAAAAACAAACGGCAAAATTATTGTTGTGCTCTTTGTTGCTTGTTATTTGCTCTTTCAGGCTTTGCTCTTGTTGGGCTTTTCATTTGTTTTTTGGTGATCGATGATTGCATAGTTTGTGGTTTTGTGTGCCTCTTTCCTGCATTGCTTGGCTGATGCGGCTCACAGGAACAATGCTGTCAACCTGCAACAGTGGTTACCTGACCTGTCCGAAGTTGAAGGGCTCTATACGACTTGACAGGCCGACACTCCGAACTCCCAAGACAGGAAAACTCCCTCTTCCAGAGATGCGCTCTTATGCAGCTCTTGCAATCCGAGCTAAGCCAGCTAAGCAGGGCAGCAACGCTCTTTGGGGCTTGCAGGCCGCGCCCTGGCACTGCCAAAGACTGCGAAAAGAATCGGGCTTCGCGCGGTGGGCTGAGGCCTGGAACGAGTTCTCACCCTGCAGTGGACACGCGAAATTTTGCATCGAAAGCAATCACTGCGTATCTCAGCAATTCATCCGCTCCTGGATACAGTGCTTTGCGTGCAGTTGCCACCTGCCCATGCAACATTTTGCACGTCCACTGCAGACAAGCACAGTTCGCGCGGCATCTATGAACACTCTCCGAACCTTCGGGGGACCGCATCGGTGCTGAAGTGGAGTTCGACCTCGAACAGCCGGCAAAAGGACGTCAAGGACTGTCAAAGCCACCCAGATTCAGTCTCGAAGGCTTCCAAGCACGTGACGGTGAAACGCCTCAAAGACAGGAACGGCTTCTGTGCCCTTACAGCTCGTCAGACATCCGAGACTGGTAAGTGCGGTGCCCGACAGGCTAATGGCAGCTCCGACTGCTGGAGTAGGAGCTACTGGCACGGGTGCCTTCCGGGCCAGCCCAAGTCACCATCGACTCTGTGAAGTCGGCATGGATTCAGACTTCAGAATCGCATTTGACGCATGTGCCGGTGCGCACGTCGTGGCATAGAGGAGTGAACATCGGAAAGGGCTGAGTCTATGCCTGGTTTCGACTGCCTATATCTTCGTGAGCTGATAATTAGTTGGTTACACGCGCACCAGGCGCCTGGATAAATCGTGCATTGCACTAGGGGGGATGGGGGGGAGGGGGAAGGGGGGGGGAGGGGGGGGGGAAGGTAAGAACGGGGGGTAAGAACGAGCTGATGCTCTGCGGGCATGGATGGGGTCTGATCTGGACGTTATCATGGTTGGCACATGGATGCTCTGCGGGCATGGATGGGGTCTGATCTGGACGTTATCATGGTTGGCACATGGATGCTCTGCGGGCATGGATGGGGTCTGATCTGGACGTTATCATGGTTGGCACATGGATGCTCTGCGGGCATGGATGGGGTCTGATCTGGACGTTATCATGGTTGGCACATGGATGCTCTGCGGGCATGGATGCTGGGCACCCGGATGGGGTCGGAGTGCGGCGTAACGTCTGGTTCGAGGGCTAAACCCTAATTAACCTTATAAACCCTAAACCCTACACTGATAAGTGCTTTGCTTTTGCCAATATTGAGACCGTTTATAGTTTTGGGTTTTTTTTTAAGCCGTATGCCGTGACACTCTTTGTTTTCGACTTCATGCTACACATGCACGCTAGCAAGTACTGAGAAGCAACGCACGGTAGTCAGCTTGAAAATGTGCTGCTACGTCTTGACTGCACGAGCTCGCAGGAAACAGCTCTGAGCTTGCGGTCTGTGTGCAGGTTGCGAGTCTTGAGGGTTCACAGTGTTTCAGACAAGAGAAAACCACACCCCAAAAACAGCATTTCCTGCTGTAAATTAGCTGATGTGTCACTAAAAATGAATAGTTTGAGCTCTTGCTAATAAATTGAAATTTAGCTAAAATCATACCAAAACCTAGGAAATAAGCACATTGAGACCCTTGAAAGTAGCCAGGCGCCTCACGCGCGTGTGACCTAATTAGTTGGGAAGCTTCCGGGACCTCCTCAAACCTCGCTTTTGCTGCAATGTCGGCTTTCTGCTCCGCGGTACGTCGTGCCTCCGTGAGCTTTGTCTTCGACATGAGTTTGGCGAAGGAGCCATCCAACCTGAGCAAACACTGTGTGAATAGTAAACTCAACTTAACTCTCAGCCTTCGGGCTCCTGGCGCGAGGCGCTCTGCCTCTTGGTGCATGAATTGTGCAAGCGATGCCTCAGGGAGCACAGTCACCTACGGCTGGAATGGGCAATCGCTCTCTGCAGGGAGGCCACAACCAGTGGATGACAGCTTTCATTGAGTGCCGCATGCTGCGCTTCCGCCTGTTCCTGCAAGCGACGTCTCGTCACGAAACAGGCAAGGCAAGTCGCAACATGAGTGGCTGCCTCGTGGCTCAGCTTTTCCAGAATCCCTCTGAGCTGGGCCTGCGGCAAGACTACTGAGCCACAGGAAGCGCCCAGGTCTTTTGTCACCGAGTGAAGCACGGTGAGTTCGCGCATGCTGTCACACAAAGCCTGACTATTCACATCGGCTCACAACATCTCGACACTCCAGAAGCATATATTGACCGGTGCCCGCCCCGATAAGGACTGCACAACTAAAGGGAGACCTTGCTGGTTTAGATGCTCTGTCTCCATACGGAGCTGCTCCTGTGTGGAGCCGCGGCAAACACTTCAGGGCATCAGAATCACGAAAGTGCCGGCCTCACTTCTCATCGCATGGGAGATTCCACACAGTTCTGCCTGCCTTCAGTTTGGGCTCGCGTTCGGCAGAAGGCTTCCAAGCTGGGGCACTGGTCGCTCAGTCTTGCAAACGAGGCGATCTTGGTATCACTGAGACTAGAACGAAAGACTGGGACAGATTGTCTTAGTGCTGTGCCGGTTTCCGTGGCAAGATCGGTAGGGAGTCTTTCGTTCAATGGCTCACCATGGAGGCGAAAGATACTTGCATACAGGGTAGGGCGGTATGCTTCCCGAGGAAGGCTGTCTTCGAAAGACCCTGTGGCTTTTGGACTTGCTGGAATCCCCGGAACCCGTGGACCGATAAAACACACAACAGTCTGCAAACAAGACCGGGTCTCAGGTGCAGGCTTTCAGAAGCGCCCACTGTGCTGTCTACTACAGCCGGTCTTCTCTTTGCCAGCAACAGGTCTTGAGGCAATACGGCAGTTGCACGTGCTTTCATGGATAACTGCACGAGAACTGCTACCCAGGCAGAAACCCATACGGATGCCACGCCAGTAAAGATTCGACGAGCATAGCAGCCTATTGACGAGAACAAAACGAAAACAGCCAACTGTTCGACAGATCTGGGCACTACAGATGTACGGCACACGCTGACTACACTTTGCGAGCTCTTGCTTTTGAATCATTCTTGTTGTGGGTACCAGCCCCGAGGATCTAACCATCTGAAAACACCTCGATACCCCACAACATCGCACATGTCATCACATGGAAACTCAGCCCTGCATGAAAGTATAACACTATATCTGAGTCTTTGTCGCCCCTGCTCAGACTCCACTTATAAAGTCGGGAACAAGCCTTAGAAACTGTATACGGCGCTCGTAAATTCGTTCCGAGGCCTGCCGCTCAAATTCTGAGCACATGCTTTCCCCAGCATGTGTAAGCTGGTGCAAAGAGCACAGCACGCAAAACATCCGAAAAGGTTCAATTGCAGGGCTTCTGTGAATGACGTGAAGTGTCGGTCAGGTGCAGTGCTCTGCTATCTCAGGATCGACTATCACCGAGCCAAGACTTGATCTTGGACACAGACAATTCACCTGACAAACGCAGCTAAAGTGTGACTCGTCGACATGTCCACTGTCGAATGACATTCACAAATACATGGGGACCAGACACAAGTCTGAAATATCCTCCTCCCCTTCTGCCTCCCATTCAATTTCACACTGGTTCCGGTCGCACCTAAGGTGTAGAACCGAACAACTGCCACTATCCTTGACGAACTTGTCGGGCAAATTAACCAGGCACTGCAGCAGCCTGCCACGGTCACCGTGCCACTGGACACGAAGTGGTGCTTCCGCTTGTGAGTTTGATTCTCATTCTCACAGCAGGTCCGGTGCGATGCCGACCTTCGTCTCTTGGAAGGCAGTTCCAACCGATCCTTCGCACAGACATGTGCAAAGAACGAGAGTGCAGCCTGTCCCGGTGCAGCCAAATGCTAAGGCTCCTGCAGACTGGGCAATGAAATCCTGCGCAAAGAATGCCCTTTGAATCAGCTCAGACCGTTGCAATGCGTACGCAATCCTCATCGAAGGCCGATACAGCTGTACGCGACACTTGACGGACAGCTGCCTGGGAGGGACACTGGCAGCAACAGCGGCAGGCACATGGAAGTGATGCAGAATTCACCCCATTTGTTGAAAAGCTCACACGTCGTTTTTCTTCCACCACGGAACATACTCTGGTGGTTGACCGTTTCGCGGCAAAGTCCGCATGCAAACGCATCACGGCAAATGCTTCAAAGGCCCTGTTGCAAAGGGGTGGGGGGCAGGATAGAAAGACCCTGGTTTTTCGACCTGCATCGTGCCTAAACGGTCATAATCTCAGCTTAACAAGCTTCTGGTTGGCAACAACAGCGACAATGGCAGAGCGATTCTGGTGTTCCTCTATCGTAATTCCCAACACGGATCCCTGCCTAACAGCACAAATTTCTGTTATTGGGAGTTGTCATGTGCATATTCAGGTACTAGGGGTTTAAGGTACTGTACTTGTGTGCATTTCCACAAAATCTGCAATGTAAGATAGCAATGGATGGGATGACCATGCTGATACACGAATGCGGCTGTCTTGTAGCGCGTCGTAATTACGCACGGACTTGACGCAAACAAAGGATTCTGGATGATTCTAGCTGTGTGTCGTGTCACCGCAAAAAAAGCACACCGACACACGGGATGTGTGGGGAAGGCGGATGCAGCTGGGGCGATTGTACATGAGCAAGTTGTAATGAATTGGAGAATAAGAATTAAAGCGTTGCTCTTGTGTGGGCGAGAGAACCCTTCGATAGACTGAGCATTTGATTTGTCTTAGAATCAACCCCGACAAATAGTTTGAGACGCTGCAGCCGGTTTCAGTGCCCGCAGGCATCGGAAGGCTTGTGCGTAGCCGTCGAACAGACTCTACCAGCTGAGCTTTTTGATCTTTTGTAGGCTCGAAATCGTTGGCTGCCTCTGCGGGCTCGATTTTCTCGGAGGCGCACATAGATCGAGGGAGAGGATAACTGATTACCAACCACCTCTGGCGGTTGATAGCCACAAGTTGGCAATTGTCATAAGATGCAGACCCCAAGCGAGGGCCAGATACTCGAGTAGATATACACAATATGGATGATTCATGGGCGTTCGCTGTTCGAGCCAACACTACAGTGCCGTCAGTGTCTGCGATGTTCTGCGATGGGGTGACCGTGAGTAGAGGAAGGTGTGATACTGGCGTCGTCAATATCTTGTAAGACTCTCGAATAGAGAACGGCGAGCCCAACTTTCAAAACGATGGGAAAAGGGACGTCCTCGGTGGAGGAGTAAATGACAAAAATACGGCGGATTATAAAGCCAGTCATCGCACCAAGTCGGGGGGGGAACCTGGATAGCCGAAACGACAGCGCGGAGCAATGCCTAGCTGCCGGAGCGGGCATACACTTCGGCTGTCTCGGCTTTGCGACTTAAAACTCCCCTCTGCTGGGACACTAGTGGGCTGCTCCGCATCTGCTACGAGTAACTGCGAAACGGCCTACCGCAAAAGGCCTAACGACCTCGACCTGTCCTCCCACTTGATCGCCTTCCCGGTGTCGTTGTCGATATGCACCACGTCGGACGTTCTCGGGCGGGTGGGCGGCGGCAACTCCCCAAGCTGTGTGCAGCTTTACCCGGACCGCCGGCCAGCCAGCCGTATGCAGGAGAAAAGCAATAAGAAGGGAGGCGGCAATGGCAAAGGAGGCAAAGGGAAGGGTGGTGCGGATTTTAACATGTAACAGACATGTTCGCACCAGCTTTTTTCGCACAGTTTTGAAGTGGATGTCACACCCAGAGTTGGGGAGCCGTCAATTCTCGAACCATGCACACTTGTATCTCCGATCGCGAGCTTTGGGGCTGCGAACTCCGGTGACGACGGCCAGGGTTTAATGTCCCCTATGGCAATCAAGAGGTCGGATGCTAGACGTCCCCGTCAGCCTTAAGCTCCTGCCCCTGAGTGTCGGCTGCGCGTTTGGCTGATGCCGGGTTCATTCCATCGACCTTGGCTTCGTAAAGAGCTCAAACGTGCCTTTCCCAAGGCACGAGAATCGGGCCGGCAGCCAGGAAGCTTCCTGGACGCCTCCTCCGGTCTCTCCGTCTCAGTCTGAGTCCAAGACACTCTTGCACGCGAGTGTTGGGCCAAGCATTGCAACAGCCTCATCCCCTGGAGCTCTCTTCTAGGTTCAGTCCTCCTTCCGCTTTCGGCAGTTTGACTGCCGAGAACTAACAGACGCCAGTTCAGCTCGTCGCACCGATGGGACGTCAGCAACCTGTTTGAACACTTCCTCAAGGGCCGGCGAGCTTTCTACCCTGAGAAACTTGCAAACAAACTCTCGTTCTGCCTGTAGCTCGAGGCGAGTGAGGCGGTTGTCTGTGTCCTCCCGGTGTTCACTAAGCCCAAAATTCTTTTCCAACTTCTCGAGTCTCCGTTTCCTTTCCGAATGGCATCCCTTCGAGAAAGAGCACCGTACGTAGCACTGCGAGCCGAAAAGTTCTGAACAATGTAATGTGCTAGCGCTTTATTGTGGGTGAAACAACGTAACGGGTTGACATGGCACGCGGTCAGCCTGCTGCCGTGATGCAGCTGCATGACCTGTCGAGCCCCACTCCAAGTATTGGATTCCTCTACGCCCCCGATCGTTTCTTTGAGAATCCATTTCTTAGCGCTTCCTCCGCATGGGCGTAACGTTTAATATGATTGTCCGTGACTTGACCGTGCCCAGCACCTTGCGGCAGTATTGGCAAGTCTTGTTCGCGTTACTCACTAGGCCCTCTGCATATCGGCTGGTGCTGCGCCAGGTCGCTTACTCTCCTGACAGACTGCCCAGCTCTGCTGATATAGGAACCTATCAAATACCCCCGCCGCTGGCCTTTTTAGCTTGCGCCGACACGTTGGCCCGTCTCGTAAACACGCTCTCTTCTCCTGAGTACCTGGTGACCCCCCAGCAGATACCGTAAGGTCCGAGCGCGTACCGACCCGAGTACAACCAAGTGCAGTGACAAACCGCCGACCACACGGGTTCCAAAGACAGCCACCATGACTCGTCCTTACAGGGAGGGTGCAAACGCCATGATGGCATTCGACCCAATCGCTTGGGTATAACCGGCTTTCTATCGATCGGTCTCTTTTTATCGTCTGTCGCCTGTGGCAGAAACTCGTATCTCCTCGGTGCTTTTAATGCAGTCCAGCACGAGTGTCCGCTGACCGCCGGCGTGAAGGACGTAGCCAACCGTCGGTGAGCCGGACACCATCTGTCCCACAGAAACTCCACGGCGTAGTCGAGCGCATCCATGCACCAAATTTCTCTACAATCATTGCTTGTCGTAAGGAGAGTGGTAAAATGCCCCGTCATCGACCGAACAGGAGAATAAGACGCACAAGCAAGAACAAGATAACTTTGTGAACCGGCATATACCAAAGTCCGAACGCCTGCGAATGCACCCAAGGATCCTGAATCTGGATCGCACGCTCTTCGTTGACTGTCGAACCGAAAACATCGACCGAAATGTCTTTTCCAGTAGCTGTTGCAGCTGAGCTCCCAGAGGGTCTGTGATAGTCCGTGCACGAAGCCCGAATCTTCATGTGGAGGCCGCTTCGAACTGAAAGCGCATCGGAAATAGTGATGAGTGTCTAACAGATATAGTTCGAACATTTGTAAGCGTGCTTTCGGGCGTGGAGACGTCACGAGGTTGCACCTTCCAGAGTCACGAAATGCACGCAAGAATCTGAACTGCAAGACAAACGATGAAGACTCGCCAGACATTGACTTCGAGCTGGACAACTCATGTTTCATCCATCGGCGTTTCGTGTAGGTCTTGGACAGGGACTGGGGCATCCTGTGTCATAGCGCTCGCTGCCGCAGCAAGCCCAGCTGCCTAGGCACTGCACCGTCAGACAGCCAGCATCAGCTTGGTGTCTCAACGTGAAGAGAAAACATCTCAGCTCGAGGTCGAGGCCCTCAGAGGCCAGGTCGCACAGCAAAGACCCTGGCGTTCAAGTCTCCGCATGATGCAGCACAACTCCTCCTAGGGCCCTAGGGGGGCCCTGGGGCGGCCTCGATGGCACCGGCACTCCCTTCGAAGAGAGCACCTGCCAGTTCCGGCATGTTCCATGTCAAGTTTTTTGCTTGCAAAGCCCGACACTTGCCTCCGACTCTGGATAGCACCTGCAGCTGTGCACCACTTAGTTCACTTCACACCTTCGAAAGCTTAACCAGACAGTGTCTCTGCAACTTACCTTCTTACAGATTCTTACATACACCGATACGCCAACCGAACCCGGGAAGATGGCCCCGTGGGTTTGATGCCAGAGTACACGTTGGCACAACGGTTATTGAAAACTTAGAGACTGTCTTACATGTCCGACGATCTGGATCTCGCAACGACTCTCAAGTGATGGTGTGTGCACAAAGGCTTCCGGGCCACAGCATGTGTCGCAGTCTTCAACTCCGACCGCAAAGCGACTTGCAACACAGAAGCGACACAGCATAAACTGAGTTTATGGAGGGCACTAACGCGACTCGGGTGCCCGTGACATCCGACTTGTCCTGAGCAAAAACACGAGACCCCGCAACCACTGGTGGCAACACACCACCGAGTGTGGAACGAAGTGTTTGATGGCATACCGCATGCCAACACGGAAATTGGAGACATCACCTGCCAGCAAGCTCTGAATAAAGGATTGGCAAATCTGCCAAGCCCAGCTGGTCACCTAGCCGCTCGCAGCACCTGGCATGTGCAGCCCAAGCCTCCAGAGCATCTTGACAACACTGATTGATTTCACATGTTGCTGCCTCCGTTAGGGTTGACGAAAAGACTTGCGACAGACATCTCCATCCATGGCAGTAGCCACCACCGCGCAGTGTCAGCTGTTCGCTCATCCGACTCGGGGAACACGCTATCACTGTCACAGACCCGCAACTCTAAGCAATGCCTACTTCAGCGATATGTGCCGACACTACATAAGCTTGTAAGTGGACTGGATGCCTCTGCTCGGGTAGCTGCATCAAAGCTGTCCTTGCGTTCAGCATGGAGAGCGCAGCACACACATACACACACACACACACAGACGCAGAGACAATTGTGTTGGTGTCGCAGCATCTTACTGGGCAGCTCACCGATCGCAGGATAGATCGGAGCATCTCACACATGACCTCAAACTTACAGAAGCAGAACATCCATGAAGCACCACGGCACCGTGCCTTGAGTTTCTCCTTTGGCATCAGCCTCACGGCGGACATGACAACCAAACGGGAGAGAGTTTGGCAAGGCGGCCTGACGATGCTGCATAAGCCTTATACCAAGAGCAAGAAGAAGCCCGGAAGCGCTCATGCCAAGAGAGAGGCGTCTGGGTCTTCTGCAACGGAGTTTTGCAGGGCTTGGCCTTGGTGCACATGCACTTCCTCGCAAGGAAATCCAAAAACGAATCAAGAGCACGCCCCACAGGAATGTGTAGTATTTCGGGTGTCGGACGCGGCCTGAACATCCGTCGTCAGCTTTTCCTGTCGTCGTTGTGGGTTGTGTAATTAATTCGTGGCAGGTATCGGGTGGAAGGCTGCATGTGAAGCTTGGGCGCTTACCGCCAGCTCGTCCGCGACAGAGGGGTGCGATGCAACAATCCTGCATGAGAGATTCACGGCTAAATTCGCGATCAAAGACCGGCATGTGCCCAAACGACAACAGACATTTTAAGGCGAGGCCTCCTCACGAGAAGCAGCTCATCTGCTCGGCACAATTCCGAAAAAAACAAATTTTGCACCTCGGCGAGAGAAATCGGCTGCACAGAAGAGCCGACTCGGCGGACTCCCACTGAGACTGCAACCCAAGGGCTCAACAAGTTGGGGTGACAAGATGTTGACATCACCTCTGCAGTCCCGGAAGCCTTGTCACTGTATGGCAGCTGGGCATAGCTGGGCTGCAGGCTGCAATGCAAGAGCACACCTGACCTGACGATTAAAATGGAAAAGTCTGCCATTGGAGAGCCCTTTGCGCAGCATCGAATTTCAGCAAGAACAAACGCCAGCATGGAGCGTGTTTTTTTGCTTGTGCTTGTGTGGCTGGACGCAAGTGCACATGCAGCCCAGCCATTGCACCAGTGTGCACGTGTGTGCATGCGCATGCGCATGCGCATGCGCGTGAGCGTGCAAGTAAGTAAGTAAGTAAGTGTGTGTGTGTGTGGGGAACCCAATCTACCACGGGACAGTGACATTGAGAATAGCAAAGTTGAGACTAAGAGAAGTGATCGTGCAGGGGGGCAGTGGACATTCTGGAAGGCACTGCCCAACGAAGACCTTTCCAGTTTGTCGTGAAATGGATTGAGGACGCTCAATCCACGTACCTGCCGGAGTGTTTGTGACATCATTCAGAATACAAGCTGTGCAATGCTTCATCCTTGACATACTCGCTGTGCAATGCTTCAGGATCCTTGGCTTTTTCATTTTTAGTAAACATCAGCAAGGCAACCAGAGCCTCTTGAAGCCCCACCGACAAAGCTTTCCTTTGAAGTTTCTCATCGGAGTCATTGAACTCACTGATGAGTCGGAATTGACCACGAATGAACATGCTACCAGCGAGACTGGGTGTTCAAGTGTGAATTGGGCATGGCCTTATCCGTCACGGCGCCATTACCGCTGCTCTCGAGGCAGTATCCCTTGAAACAGTGCCCCGAGTGGGACGAGTGATCCTTGGCTAGGTTCATAAGAGACCCCAAACATCAACAGACTGGGAAGCAATTGTCTTGAATCCGGAAAGCACATGCTGATCAAGAGGACCAGCGCAATCAGCTTGAAATCCAATTTGTCTTGAAGTCTGCTTGAAAGTGACATGCATGCATGGCCTCGATTAGGTTAAGCTTAAGCGTAGCGTAAAGCCGCTAGTGCATGACCCTTATCTTTAATCATTCTTTTCTTTTTGTTGTTGCTTTTTCTTTCTAGTTTTGTGGTAGATTTTAAGTTGTCCATAAGTTGTCCATAGCAGCTGCGTCCTACCGCCATGGAGATTAACATACAGATCAAGAATGCGCAGCCCGAAGATTTGCTGCAGGCGTTTGCAGCACTGAGTGGAGGAGCAGCATCCTCAACGACAGCGGCATCTCCAACTGCAGCATATACCTCAGACCAAGGGAGACCGCCATTGAAAAGAATTCGCAAAGAAGCCCGTACCACGACGGCTGCAACAAGGAGATCCCCGAGCTTATTATTCAGTCAAGAAGAGCTCCAGACTCCAGGCATTGCAGGCAGCGAACCCACAGGGAACAACGCAAGACTCCACAGCCGAGGACACCGAGCAGAGTGCAGTTGCTTCTGGCGCAAAGGCAAAGCGCAAAGCTCAGCCATTCTCGGCATTCCGCAAGCACGAGGGACGCACTATGTCCCCTCGTCCCTACTTCCAAAGAAGTGACCAACTTGGAGCAGGAGAAGCTCCGCCTACGCCGAGACCTACATCCTCATCGGGATTGCCTGCGCTACCACCAGTACCACTACTAGCAACATCAAGTGCAAGACCCGCCAGACCTCTGCTGGTACGAAAGAGGCCTATTGACTCCAGATCTCCGAGACGCAATCCCTCACGAAGGAGCCCCAGCGATTCAAGAACCACCAGACCGCGGGCGGTATTAAGATCCAGATCGCACACTCCCAAGACAAGATCCAGATCTCACGCTCCCAGGACAACATCCAGATCTCGCTCCCCTAGGACAATGCAGCGCTCCAGGGCATCGGGCCTCAGCAGCACAGGCACTTCGACAGCACCAAAGACGCATGCACAGCGACCCAAGATCGACCCCAAGCTGTACGAGACTCCGCGGATGCCCTCAACGATTACATTCCACAAGAGCCTCAAGCAATACCGAGTCAACTGGAGGGACATTGAGATTCCGCAGTTCCCCATACATGACTCCACAAAGCAATATGTGGATGCACTTTGCGCCGCAGCGGAGTTCAGGATCAACAATGGGGTTCTATTGGAGCATGACCTAACATGGGACAGAGGAGGAGACCCAACTCCAGAGACAATGAGGAGATTCTATTTCTTGCAGTCTTCAGATCTTACTCTGCAAGACCCTCCTCTACCAACTCGGCAAGAAAAGATCCTGTTTTGGTCGCATGCAACAGATGTGGGAGCTTTATTCAACATGTTGAAAGAGCGAAATATGCGTCCGATGAACGCGCATGGAGTGGCAGCATTCGGATGCAACATATTCTATGCGCTCGGCCACGAGATGTCCGGATCCGACATCGACGAACACAACCTGACCCGGGTGATCTTCAACACCACCCGCAGCGCCAAGAACTTGGCAGGTATCGTCGTGGGAGGCCGTGCATGGGGATCCCTCCGCAAGCACCTTGGTGGATCCTATGAAACAGCTCGTGCAGCCACTGAAGAGGATGAGGTGCTCAAGGATGCGAATGCAAAAGCTTATTGTGTATCTCGCAACAGATATTGCTCTACATGCATGGCTTTTGAGCAGCTGATGACGCCGCCTTCGACAGCGAACACCCTCATCTCCCAGTACCAGAAAGCTGCGGGCATAGCTCCTCAAGGAAGAGCTCGACTTGCGCTCATCTAACAGCGCAACCACTGCAGCACTATAAAAGCTCTTCCCGGACATCCCCTTCGGCAAAGTGCTGCAAATCTTCCACTGGCATACAGCCGGCAACAACTGCGACGCCGCAAAACGCATTCTTCGCAGCAAAAGATACACATGCCTTTTATGCCTTTTTATGCCACTGCAAGCTTTTGCTTTGTTGTTGTGCCCTAAGTTTTTTCGTTAGCCTTTAGTGTTCAGACGGTGCCCCCAATCGCTAGATACTTTCATACGCAACGGCGAACGCATGGACTGGGTATTGGCCCCAGGGAGCATCGGATACGACGTGGTGGGCATCGGGCAGTGGGAGCGCATCAAGCCAAGGCGAACCAATATGGTGGTCTCAAGCAGCAATGCCGAATCCAGCATCCACACCGACTCCAGCATCCACGCCGACGCCAACATCCCTGCCAACGCCAGCATCATTGCCGACGTGGCCACCTATGCCCCCGCCCGCCGCGAGTCCATCTACGCAACCTTTGCCACCACCGCCGCCACCATGCAGCGCACAGCCAGAACCAGCGAATGCAGCAGGCACACCGGCGACATCGGCAACCACGGCACGGGTACCACTCCCTAGTCAGTTTTACGGAGGACCCGGACCACTATGATACGAACCTCGTATTCAAAGCAACTTTGAAGAGGACTATAGAGCCCACGGCTTGGAGCCGTGCCAAAGGACTTGCAGGCATGGACGTCCGCGATGTCACCGTTGCACATCTTTGCAGACATGGCATGGAGGAATTTGGACTTCGAGGACTTTCCCACGGCAAGTTCACCGGCATGATTTTGACCCGCAACATCGCCGAGAGCGTCTTCCTCTCCCAGCTTCAAAAGAAGCTCCGCGAGAACAACATCGACATCGATGCCACCGTCGACGCCCTCTACCAAAGCAAAGGACAAAAAGCCCCTGACAAGGTGAAAGAGGCTATCACCTTTGTCACACCCCTTGTCGACACCATCCTGGACGCCATCAAACCTTGGGCACAGGTACGCAACTACGCCACCAAGAACACCGACGGCGACAACCAAGCAGCTCAGCGCACGCAGGCCCTGGAGGAGCAGACCGCAAAGTACAAGCAACGCCTACGCAGCGCAGGTATCGAAGTCACCCCCCAGAAGTCCCTCCCACTGCAAAATGAGCCAACAGATGGTCCAGAAACAACAGCGGCACCACCAAAGCGCAGACGCCTCACAAAGGGAGCTATCAAGCAGCGCAACGAGGATATCCTCGCCGAGCCCCACAACGTAATCCGCGCCAGTGGACAAGAACCACCGACAAGTATGACCTCGATTGCAACTTGGGTCACCAATCTCAAGAAGAGCCTCCCTCGAGAAAAGCATGCGGAAGTGGATAGTCACATACAGTCCGCGCAGACCATCCTCGAAGGCGCCAAATACACCAAGGCAGAGCTACAGGAGATGGCGACACGATGGGGACTCCCCATGTCCCTCACTACAGCGCCAAAGGCTTCACCCAAGAACCTTCAGCAGCTGATCGCGGCCGTCACCTACCTCGCCGTGTGACACGTGCAGAAAATCCTGAGAGGACCCTTAGCACATCAAGAAAGTGCCAATATCTTCCAGCAGCTACAGCAGATAGTGGATTGGGGGCAGTTTTTGCTTTTTCATATTCCTGCTATTAGTAAAGAAGTTTTGATGTGGTTAGTTGGACTTATTCATCTAGTATTCACCTTCCATAGAATGCGGCAATCGCCTGCAGCAGAGCAACTAAAAGAGCGACTTCGAGAAAAAGGCGCGGTTCCAGAGCTCTACACGTTCGAGAAATTCTCCCAGCCCTGTGCAGTGTACGTCAAACTTTTATTTCCCAGGCTCAACAAGCAAGCCTATGCGACTGCTACCCGAGATGCATCCTTTTGCTACATCGGATCCACCAACATCACTGTGGCCAAGAGAGAATACAACAGAGTCGCAAAACTTCGTCAACTACAACAACTCAAACTACCTAAAACCGAGATTGCCATTCGATATTGGAACGACTCCCAGACCTACCAGCACTACAGCACCATCCTTCTTTCGCAACACTCGGAGTATATTGACGCCTGGGCCGAAGAACACAGCCTGATTCAGAGATGGCAGCCCAAGCTGAACTACCCGTATGTCAAGAAGGCGCATGGTTTGGTCCCCAAACATCAACAACCACATCTTCGCCACCCACCAGATTCTCTGGGACGACAACTTTTCAAAAAACTCCGACGAAGAGTACAAGGACAGAGACCTTCGCTTGTCAATGCTCTACCCAAGCAGGCGCAATTCTGGAAGCTCTTGTATTCCATATCCAGCGACACCAAGCAAGAATTTGAGGCCTCCAAGGAGCTGCGCAGCGGCAAGCACGACGCG